AGAGCGTTCGTGTTCGATTCGTTCGATAAGCAAACGAGACGAACACGAACAATTTTTTTTCGTTCGGTTTGCTAAACGAACCAAACACGAACAATGATGCGTTCGTTCGTGTTCGAATCGTTATTGTTCGAAATAAAAAAAAATTTAAATAAAAATATATATATATAACTTATGATATTTTTAAAATAATTATATACTCAAAAAAATTAATATATTTTAAAATTTAAAACCTGTAAATTATAATGTAAAATAAATTAATAATAATAATACATTTACATACTATCTAAACTCTAATAATATAGATATTATATATTTATATAATATAAGGTATATAATTATTATAATATATTTTATTATTATTTTTATGTTATAATATATAAAAGAAAAGAAAGAGGGGAAGCCCTAACCCCCGTTCGTTTTTTCTCTCGTTCGCTTTCTCTTCTCTTACGCCGCTCTCCTCTCACAGTCTCACGCCGTTCTCCTCTCACGGAAGCACGACTGCACGAGTGCAGCCGATCTTTCTCTTTCGGCTGCTCCTTCTCTCAAGATCGTGAAAAGCTTGACTGCGAGAACCATCTTCTTCTATCAAAATCGCGAAAAGCCTCTCTCGGTGAGAACTTGTCTCAAAATCGCGAAAATCGTTGTCTCGGTGAGAGCTTAGAGTTGATTTTTTGTGTTCATTCTCTAATCTCTACTTCTATTTTACTTTGATAAAAGGTATTTTTCCTCGGTGAGTCGGCCTTGGATCGACCCGGTATTCTTGCTTAGGTGTTCTTATACTTCAGTTGCTCGGTATTCTTGCTTGGTTGCTCGTTATTCTTGTTTGGTTTTCTATAATATTTCATATTTATCTTCAGGTAATCAGGTTTGCCTCTTAGCTTAAATTTTTAGAAATTTTTTTACGGTTTATTTAAATTTTTTGTGTGAAACCTAGGTTTTGAAGTTTCTGATATTTAAATTTTTTGTGTGGAACTTGAGAGTATTAAACCTGAAAATTGTTTTTTTATGATAACTGTTAATTTTTGTTAAATCCTGATAAAATTCTTGCCAATTATGCAAGATTTAAGATTTATGAGATGAAAATACCTTTAGATCAGTTAAATTTTCGTTTATTTGTTAAACTCAACTAATCCTATTTCAAATATTCACAGGTATGGAACGAGATTTATCTAAATAATAAGTTTTAAAGTCCCCAATGTAGATTTATCTTATGTTTCCACAATTTTTTTTTGTAAGCCAGTAATTGGCATGTTGAATACTTGCTCATCGGGCTTTTAGCCAACTGTTTCTCTCTTGCACTTGGGAAAGAATGTGATTTTCTGTTTCTTTTTTGAACGCCCGAACAAGGAAACTTGAACATTTGTTTGTCATCATGGTTATTTCTATAAGTTTTTTTTAAACTAATAAATGCTTTGGGTTATCGTTTGTTTTTTGGAACTGGCATGAGGTTCTAGTCAACCATTTGTGATGCATTATATTTCTTCTTAAGTTGATGATCTCACAATTTAAATTTTCGCTTGATATTCTTTTCAAAATGATACCTAGGAGTCATGTTTGAGATATTCACATATGAATTAGGGTTTAATTTTACTTGAACTCTACTTTGGACTATTAAATGATCATGACAAGACTATTGGCTGTTGGATAGTTGAAATTTCATCATCTCTTAATTAATTTGATATTGGCCATCATAGAAATGTTGTCATTTAATCATATAAAGACAAATTGTCAATCCTCATTTAGGCAAACTGATAACTACTCTTTTATTTTATTTTATTTTTTATTTTTAAGCTTTATATGTTGTTGTCAATAGGAAATTTTATTTACTCTTTTATATTGAGTGACCTTAGCATGTTAATCTTTATGGACTGTTTTCTATTAGAAAACCTAACCGGGAAATTATATTCACTATTGTAAATGAGATACCTCCAAAGTCCCCATTTCTTCTACATATACTACTGTTGGCTTATTCAAATAAGGTTCATTTCTTCTACATTAGAAGTCCCCATCATTTCTACGATTTCATTTAGCAGTTTTAATTGCAGTTTTTATTTGGGATCTCATTAGAAGTCAAATGATAGTGTATGAAATGCTTACATGGTTCATTTGAAAGGCATACACTTATGTTTTATTATCCTGCAAATTTTTTTTTCCTACACATCATTTGATAATATATTTTTTTTTATAGATATTTACAATGTCAAATGTTGAGCATTCTCAGTCTGTATCAAATGACGAACAATTGCCACTTGCAACACAAGAAGAAATTGATAGTTCTCAACCTATTGAACAAACAGTTGGGAGCACTAGTACTGAAATACAAGTTACAAAAGGCAGGAAGAGAAAATCAACTGTGTGGGTCGAAGTATCATATGTTCAATGTGTTTGCTGTGGGGTGAAAATACTTAAACCCAAGTCAGGTACAACCTCTCAACTTCTTAGGCATGTTAAGGAATGTGCTAAGATAAAATCAAAGAGTCAACAACAAGTTGACTTCTCAGACAAGAGACAGAAGTTACTGAACTTCTTGCCTTCAGAAGTTCAGGGTGAGTCAGAGATTCCTATTTTCTATGATCCCAAGAAGTATGATCAACAACTCATACGAGAGGTCATAGCAAAAATGATAATTGTACATAAGTATCCATTCATGATGGTTGAACATAGTTGGTTCAACATATTGTTAAAAATGTTGAATCCTTACTTTCAAAGTGTTTCCAGAAACATAATAAAAATTTTTGATGTGCTCGATTGGTGGAAGATGAATACATTGAAGTATCCCCAATTTTCTATTATGGCTCGAGATATTCTATCAATACCTATAACCACAGTTGTCTCAGAATTAGTTTTTAGTGCAGGAGGTAGGGTGTTGGATGATTACAGAAGTTGTTTATCTACTAAAACTGTTAATGCATTGATTTGTGCATCTAGTTGGATTCGATCTACACAACAAAATACTAAGACATTAGTGGTAATCTTTAAATTAAGTATATCATTTTCTACTTTCTAGTGTATTTTATTTTCTTACAATATTAGATATTTATATTTATTTTCATTGTTTCTTTTCAGCAAGAGATTTTTTATGAGGGAAAACTTAATATTCAACTTCCAAACATATGAAGCCAACTTAGCCAAGTATACGCTATCATTGGATTCATTGCTAAGAATTTTATTATTATTGTAGATTTTAACTTTATCAGACACTTAACTATTATTTTCACACTTGCTAATTTGGATTCATTGTTAAGTTTTTATTTGGGATTATAAGTCCCCATTATTATTTTTCTTTTCTTTCCTTCTTGATGAAATTCGGGTATGTGTGTCTATTTTGCTATGTTAATGTTCATCAATGGCTTACGTGAACTGGCATGCTCTTCTAGTCTTCTTGTGAGACTCAAGATTGGGGATTTTGAAATTTGTAAGAGGTTTGGCTAGTAAAATTTCTTTTGAAAAAGTCATTTTTTCTGAATTTTAAGAAGTTGTTCTATTTGATTGGGCTTAACTGCTTACATTTTGTGCTAATATCATGATACTGAACTTATGTTGAAGCTCTGAGCAATGGCTTTTACCAATAAAATTGGGAACCCATCAATCTATCAGGTAGTGCGATGCATGTCGTCTTCGAAACTTTTTGTTTGAGGTTTGGCTTCCTACTTGAGCATCAATTCTATCTCAAAGTGAGAATTTTGGATGATTTACATAAATTGGCATCAAACGGTGAGTAAAGTTTACTCTGTATGTACAATGCGGGATTTGGATGCATTGATATTAAGTTTGTATGAAGCAATAGTTTGTACGAAGCAATAGTTTCCATCTTATTACTAATCACGGTTAATCCCGTAACTTCAACTACTGATCCTTTGGAAGTTCAGGACTAACTTGTTACTTTTTTATGACAACTCATGGTTTCTTCTCAATGTTGGCTCTGGTGTAGTGAGACATGTTTATAGTTTTTTTCTGTAGGACAGACTGTCTATATTTAAAGTTTGTTTCTAATTTTTCAGAGGCACTAACGAACACTCCAAATGATGGATTTGAATTTATGAATATCCTTTCGGTTCTGTAGTCCAATATGAGGACTAATTTTCAATGTTTTCTCTTGTTTTGTTTTTATAAGTTTCACATCGGGAAAAGAGGCCTCTGCTGCCATGACAGCGTTAGATGGAAAGGTTCTTCAATTTTTTACTGCATATTTCTTTATTAGATGATTGTTTTTTGGAAGATTTACATCCATACCACTCCATTCCTATTGATTTACATATCTAACATCTAAACTTCTTTTCTTACATACATTTCACCTTACTCATGCATTAAAAATTAAAATGGTGATGCTTTTGATGTGATATGATAGATTTGTATGGTGCAAATGTAAAAAAGTAAAGTTTAGATGTTAGATATGCAAATATATTAAAGAGTTCATTCTAACTATACTGTTTATTCTTTTCAACAACCACACTATAAGCCATCTCTGTTCACGTTTTGAAAATGATTATTGTATTGTTGATTGTTCGCTAGGAACTCCATGGACGCATCGTTCGAGTTAGTTTTGCCACTGAACGTCGTGCTGGTTTTGGCGGCGGCAGTTACGGCGGTTATGGTGGTGGTGGAGGTTATGGTGGAGGTGGTGATGACTTTGGCAGTGGAGGTGGCGGTGGTGGTTTTGGTAGCGGGGGAAAATACAATTTTAATAAGGGTGGGAGAAATAATGAAGATTTCAAGGGTGATTATGATGATGGTGATGATTATGCAAACAAAAGAGGCTGATCATACTTAACTCATTCTTCTGAAATGAGCAGACTGAAGGATTAAAGATGAATGAATGTTGGGATTTCTAGAGTGAATTTTAGAGCATTTATGAAGACTAATTGAAATGTAAAACCATCTTTAATCCTTAGATGTTTAAACAATATTTATTTTCTTGTTGTTTTTCAGCCTTTTATATAATATATATTTTGTTGCAAGTGTTATATTGATGAATGAGAATTGAAATAAAGAGGATTCATATTTTTAAGCATTATTGTTGTTCTGTTGTTTTTTTTCTTTTAAAATTTACATACATGATCTATATGAAAAAACAGTCTATTTAAAAAATAAAATTTTGTTGTTAGACATGTAAAATTGTAATACATAAGAATTAAGTGGTATGAGTGATGAGTGAAAATTTGGTATGAGTGAAAATTTAGAGAGAGAGAGAGAGAGAGAATTTCGAACATTTCGAACATTTTGAACATTTCAAACATTACGAATTTGAAAGATTCAAACAATTCGAATTTGCGGAATAATAGCGAACAATTCGAACAAAAACGAACCGAACACGAACACGAGTCTATTTCAAACAAACTATATAACAAACTATATTTCAAACGAACTGATCATGAGCACTGTTCGTTCGTGTTCGGTTCGTTTACACCCCTACCTATGTGTTCAATATTCAGGTCTTAATCAAAAAGTCTTATATTACTTGATAATGATACGTATACTTGCATAGTATCCCAATATATATAAATTAAAAGTTAAATTCTTATTTTTCTTCAGGATAAAGTTTTTTTTTTTGTTGTTAAGTAAGGAAATATAAGTGAAATATAATTTGAATTATTGTTGTACTGTGCATATTAGCAGTATCTAGGGATCGATTACTCATTGTGAGTACTCCTCAGCAGCCTTTTTGATAATAATAATAATAATAATAATAATTATTATAATTATCATTTTTGTATTTTTCATCCCGACACAGCCTCATGGTGAAATGAACGTCTTCTCTATGTATTGACGTTCCAGACACGCTCGCGCGGTCCGTTTTGTCATCCGGGGTCATTCAGGCCACCGTTTCGACGATCGAGCACAAAAATGATAATTTATGTTTTTAAATCTTGCATGTGAAACTTTAGCTCAACAAACGTCCTCTCTAGGTGAAATTGACCTTCTGGACGTCTGTTTCATCATTTGAGTCATTCGGGTGACTTTCTGATGATCGGGTCAAAAATGTGTTAAATTTAATTATCGTCAAAGTTTTGGTTCGCGATCTAACGTTTTGGAAATTGATCATAGTGAGGAAATTTGAGATCAATTGGAAGCAAATGAGGGTTATTTGAAGAGTTTAGGCATTTCAGGGCAAAATTAGGATTTTTGTCAAAATGGGTTAATTTGATCAAGTTAGACCCAATGGATGGTTAAGAATTGGTTTTGGGGGTGTTTAATATGATTTTGGAGAATTTGAGAATTTTTGGGCCATGAGTAGCATTTTGGTAATTTTGACCAACTCTGATCGAAGTGGTCAAAATATTGATTTAAAGGCTCTAGGTGGTTCAAGAGGAAATTTGGAGTCAAACGACAGTGTCTGGGGTCATTTTCGATCAATGTAGAAGATTTTATGATCCCCAAAGTATTTTTTAAATATTTGTTATTTTGGTGTCGATGTGCTAAAAAATTGTCCGGAAGTATAATAAGCTTACAGTAAAAAATTCTCAGAAAGACATAAGGAATGATTTTGTGTGATTTTTAGGACTTATCGGCGACTTTGGGAGATTTTGGAAAATTAGGTATTTTGGGTCCAGGGGTATTTTGGTAATTTTTAGGAAAATTGGGTATTTTTGTAATTTTTGGGTTTCAAATGCTCTAAATGATAATATCAAATGGTTTGAAGTGGATTTATGATTCAATGGCACTTTTGGGAAATTTTAAAGAATTAGAATTTTCAAGTGGGGTATTTTAGGAAAATTGGGTTCAAATAATTTTGGTTAGTCCCATGAGTGTAATGATTGCAATATTGTGATATGAAAATGCAATTTTTATAATGATCATGATAATTATGAATGATGACGCAATGTATTGAAGTCCAAAAAGGTGTAGAACGATGCAAGACTTTCCTACAGTCAATAGTTCCTATAGGAATTCTCAAATTCTCATCAGGGTTCCAGGGTTCCCTTATGTAATCTCTAATATTTGTATTAAAGATTATTGATCACATATAGAACCAACATAGAGAACAAAGATTTTTTTGAAATGTCTAAGGAGAAGAAGGGTACCATTTCTAAGATGCTAAGATAATCATTAAGAAGTCCTAAGGCTAGATCATAGTCACTAAAGGAAAGACCCAAAAGCCTCACCCAAAAGTGAGGTCAACACTTTATTGTTTGAGAAGACTGACTATAAGATTGCTAGTATGGTTGTCAATTGGATCGTTGGAATGAATATGAAGGTAAACTTTTGTAATATTCTTCATGTAATTTGAAACTTGAATGTTGTAAATTTTTTTTATAATGAATATAACACATTGAATTTAAAATGTTGTGTCAATCATTATTGAGTGCAACTGATTGGGACTTTGTTGTTTGAGCTTGCTAGTGGAAAAGTGTTCCAAAATGTATTTCAAAATTTTAATTTTATATTTTGAAAAAGATGCACCACAATGATGATATTTTTACGACAATTTCATCTCCATAAATTTTCTATAAATATATAGGTGGGTTATTTTTTAACTTTATAATTTAGTGCCCTTAGCTCTTATGTCTTATCCTTCTTTGTCTTCTTCCTTAGCACACAATATGTTTCATTGTAATCTCTTTTCTTTGATGGCCTCTACTTTTTTGAACAACAACAAGGTGTCCTTGATGGGGTCAATGATGGGTTCTTCAAAGCTTTCAACTACAAATAAGAACTTGGTTTAGTAGGAGTATGTATTCAAATATTTCTACTACCAGCAAGATGATTGAAGTGTCAAGTTTCCAAGCACCATATACAAAAAAAATGAATTGTGTTGCTGTTAGGATCAATTATAAAACACAAAAATGAGTTTATAAAATAATGGTGCGAACTTCTTTTTTCCCTCTCTTTCTTCCATGGTTTAGCCTCTTTTCTCCTCTCACTTTTTCTTTCATGGTCAATCCACTCTTCTTCTTCTCCGTCTTTTTCTTCCTTGGTCGAGCCCCACCATCCTCTCCCCCTTCTCTCACCAAACTGAAACCCTAAATCCTTCTCCACTCACTTCTCCTCTCTTTACCACTACCCTAAACCCTTCCTCATTCACTTATCCTCTCTTTAATATGCTAAAAACTTAAAATCACCACTTAAAGTTTTGCTTGAGACATAAAGTCATCATATGATTTGTTTGCAAGAAACATAAATCTAGCATGAAAGAAAAAGTAAATTGAAATTAATCAAATTCAAACAACACTGAACACGATGAACTTCTGTTAAACCCTATAAATTAACTAAAAAATCAAATTAATATCAAAACCATTATTTTCTCCATATATCATTGTATAGCTTGAAACATCATTTAGTCTTCCTATATCATGACCACGAGCGATGCACCAAAAAATTAGATTAATTTTACGGTTAAGGTTTCAAACCAGTATTTTATGGCTAAGGTTTCGCTTTTGCTAGAAATTCCTTTTAGCAAATCTTATCCCTTAGTCCAGGATTCAACATCTTGAATCAAACCATTATTAGCTCAAATAAATCAATTTAAATTAATCAACTTTAATCAAATATTCATAACTCAAATCAAGTCTTTGTAACTCAAACCGAACCCATTTTAGTTCAAATCAAACCCTATTCATAGCCAAACTTGTTCAAAGAAAATCTTATTCAATTTCAACTTAGTTTAATCAACTTCAACCAAACCTTATTCAACGCTTTTCAACTTAAATCAATCAACTCAAATCAAATCCAATCGACTTATATTCTAACCTTTGCAACATAGTTACAATTTTTATCTTCACTTATGCCTTCTTCTCAGAGTTGGCTAACCTTTTTCTTGAGGATTTACATAACACATCATCATTGGAATGTACGTCCCAACTATTGAATTTCGAGAAAATTCTTTTTCAAATCTTGAATTTATCAATTTTAAGTTCTTAAATATCAATCTTGAAGACACTAAACTTATAATATTGCATAATATAAGTTGATTATTTAATTGAGAGTAATCTCTAGAGTTAAAAAATTTTAGATATAATTAATTATGAGAGCTTGCCTTCGTAGGGATATTGAACCCTAGAAGAAAGAAAACGCTATCATACACATGTAAGGCGGGTGAAATTTTTTTTTGTTATGCAGATGTTGACCTAACTTTTTGTTGAGGTCTAGATTCTTCCATAGAAACCTAGGATCTAGCCATAGGGCTTTCCAACGTTGACTGTTCCTAGAGGACTAGTAAGGGAACCCTCGCCATTAGAAATTCCAAATGCCTCTTTGTTCTCTTGAAGTTCCACATGTTGATTCTAACCTCTAGCATCTAGTAGGTGGAGCCAGCATGGGGGAGCTCAAGATAAGTTCCCATAGGACTTTTTGGCCTTAGGGTTAGCCTTGCCTTAGGGTTAGCCTTGGCCTTGGGTGGTGTGGTCTTAGTCAGGTCTACACATACACACACATGAACCTTTCACATTCACTCAAAACCTATACCCTGAACCAAATTTGCTTAACCTACTCCTCTACTATGTTGGAACCTCATGAGGGTGGTCCCCCAGACCCTTAGCCCTAAGCTATGGTTTGGCTAAGACTAGCACATGGAGGATCCAAAATGAGGTTCCCTTGGCCTCATAGCACCATAAGAGTGATTTTATGATTACCATCTTCAATTGATCTCAATTTTGCCAAATTCCCAATTCTGACACTTTTAGCCTTAAACTACATGGAGAATCCAAAATGATGTTCCCTTAGCCTCATGGCACCATAAGAGTGATTTTATAATTACCATCTTCAATTGATCTCAATTTTGCCAAATTACAAATTTTGACACTTTTAGCCTTAAACTTCACCAA